AAATGAAATACTATTCAAGCATAAAAAAAAATGAGATAACTCTATATCTACTGATAGAGGAAATGTCCTATATTTTGTTACGTGAAAGGACATGAAAATAGCCAAGTACAGAACCATGTACACAGCACACCTCCATAGGGTAAATGGAAAAATAAATACCTACAGAGTCGAATACGCAGTTGATCTCAGGAAGGAAAAACCAGTAACTGGAAACCGAGTGGTCAGGTGGGCAGCCCTGATACATAGTCTGGTGTTCAGGGAGAAGCACTAGAAATGTGGGACTCAGCAGCCAATGGATAGTACTGGAAGCCCGAGGACTGGATGAGCTCACCCAGGAGAGAAGAGGCTGAGACCAGGAGGTGAGGCCTCCGAGGTACAAGGAAACCAGGAGTGGGGCGTCAAGGAAGCCGAGGGAAGAAAGTGTTTTGAGAGGGAAGGAGCAGTCAGCTGTGTCAGGTACTTCTGAAGGTGCAGGAGGAGGACAGAGACATTACTGTCGTTTTTAGCACCCTTGATAGGGCTGTCTTTAGTTACATGGTTGGGTGAAAACATTGTTCAACGGGTTGAAGGCTGACTAGGAGGTGAGGAAGTGGGGAACGGGTTTTGCTCTGAAATGCAGCAGAGCCGGAGAAGGTAAGGTGCAGGTGGCAGTCATGGACCCCCCACAGGACACCATCATACTCACACATAGTCCCACACTGACACATGCACAGAAGCACCTGGCCCACCCCAGCATTGGTCAGTCTCAGCAATGATTTTCAAAGTAAAAGATGGCCTCTGCCCTGTGGCTTTGCCCTATCCAGAAACTCAACATGGCTGAGGCCTCCAGAGCCGGCTCTGCTCCTTATTATCTGTGTGACCCAGGGCAAGTCACACAACCTCTCTGGCTTCCCACTCATAAGAGTGAGAAGGATTGTACCTTCCTCATCTGGCACTGTGATGATGAAATAAAGCCTGCGGGACAGTGCAGGGACCAAAGATGTCTCTGAGCCCCCAGTGCAGTGTTAGTTTTCTACCAGGAGTAGTAGGTAGGGTGATGGTGTAATTGATCTTTCCAAGTTTGGAGTTACTTTTGAGAGTAAACGGGGATGCTGTTAATTACACCAGGGCCACAGGCATAAACCAGTACAGTCCTGGGAAGATGCCATGTAAAATCACCCTTCAGCTAGCAACATAATCTCTGTCCAGACAGGGAGTGCTCAGGCCCTTTGGTGACTAAGATACCAGGACTCCCCGGGAGGCCGGAAACCCTGGGGGTTCCCCGACCAGGCTGAGGCCCCGGGGCTCTCTCATTACGTTCCTAGTCGTGGCACACTAGTAAATAAGACAAAGCGTCCTTGCCTTCAGAGCCCAGCCCAGCCCGGCCCAACCGCAGGCCCCGCCTCCCTCCGCAGGAGGTCTAAAGCGCAGGCTCCGCTCCTTCACTTCTCTCTTACTCCCGCCCCACACCGCACATGGGATTTGCCCCCTGCAGTAACTCCAGGCAACGGCCTCTCCCCATCCGGCCCTCACCCCTGGACGAAGGATCCCCCCCATCTCCTTTCCAGGCGCAGTGCCCCTTCCTGCTGCGGGCACAGGGTCTGCCCCCCAACCTGCCCCCCACTTCTCCAAAGTGCCCATGCCCATTCCAGGACGCGGAGCCTGAGCCACGCACCTACGCGGGGAGGGCAGCCTCCGGGAGTGGTCGAGACCAAGCGCCAGGCGGGGACAGTGACCCGCAGGGCGCGGACACAGTACCCTTGGTAACGCACGTGGGCCAGTCCTGATTGCAGTCCGTCCGGGGACCACTTGACACTTAACCAGTTTAGAGCGCTTCACGCTCCGAATCTCATCGGACCCTTTGCCACAGCCCTGCCCAGGGCCACAGATGCCCCCGTTTCACACATGAAGAAGAAGCCCAGGCTCAGACGGGCGTCAAGCCCGGGAGAAGGTTGCCGGGGGAACGAGTGACAGTGTCTGGACTAAAACCCGACCCTCTGCGGCGGGCGGCTCCCGAGCTCCTCCCCTGACCCTCCCTCCTCCACGCCGCCCCCGGCTGTGCCTGCCGCCACGCGCCTCGCCGGCACTGCAGAGACGCGGCTCCGGTCCCGCTCGCCTCCGCTGCGGGCCTCGAAGACGCGGGGTCCCGGCCCCCCCGCTGGCCGCGCCGCTGCTGGTGAGTGCGGGGCGCCTCCCCACCCCGCGCCCACGGCCGCTGAGCGCTCCCCGGCGACCCCGGGCGGGGCGGGGGCTTGATCCTGCCTTCGGGCCAGGCTGAGACTGGCAGGTGAGGGGATGGGAGGAGGTCGAGGGAACTAGACTCACCCCACTCCCCACCTGCCTTCTCACCCCTCGGTTCTCGGCGGGGAGGGGGCTCCAGCTGCTGAAGATTCCCGGACAGCCCCCTCCCCCGTCGGCAGGCTCCCAAGCTGCCTGGAATGTACGGAAACTTGGTGCTGGTGACGGCTGGGGTGGGGGGTGGAGAGGGGAGGGGAGTTCTGCCCCGAGGAGGGGGCCGGCCGGCACTGTGGAGTGGCGGTGAAAGCTGGGCGCGCCTTGGTCCCGGGGCAGGGGAAAAGCGGATAGCTGGGAGCTGCTGCTGGGGGGGCCACATGGGGGGCCAGATCCGGCTCCACCAGTCCCGGGCCTGGGCTTGGAGGGAAATTCTTTGCCGGTGAGTCGCGTCCCTAGGGTGTGTTTGACAGGACTGGGCAGACAGGACTGGAAGGTGGAAGGTGGGGGCCCAGGAGGGGGCAGCCCCCAGGTGGGCCGCCCTGAGAAGGCTCAGGTGGAAGCACCTGTCAGGGCCCTTCTCCTCCGGGGCTGGCAGACAGGGTTCCAACCTCCACTCCAGTCTTCTTGAACTCTCGCCAGGTGAGTGGCAGGCTGGGGAGGGAATGGCCTTTTACTACTCTTACCACAGCTCAAGAAAGTAGGAATTATTTCTCTTTAGAGATAAGGAAGGAAGGTCAAAGAGATTAGGAGAACTTGGAAGTCACCCAGGTAGAAGGGGTAGAGCTGAGGCTTGAATCCAGATGTGACTCCACGCTCAATACACATCCCACTCCCCAAACGACAGGTCTTAGAAGGAGCTGAGTTGAGGCAGACACTTTTTTTTTATTCTAAGTATGTTACTGTATGTTGCTGCCAGTGCATATAAAATAAGCGCCCTTGTGAAACAGAAGTTCATGGAAATTCAGAGAGGTAGAGGATTAAACAAACACTTTAATTCCCACTGGTAATTAAATTCCGGGAAGAAAATAAAGGGGACAGGAGCAGAGTGACTGGGAGGGCAGGGGCTTCCAGGTCCAGGGTAATCTAGGGTGGCCTCTAAGAAGAGGATGTTTTAGCAGAGGCCTCAGTAATGAGAAGGATGCAGCCATGCAAGTTTCTGGAGGAAGAGCATTCTAGGCAGCAGGAATAATTACAAAGCCCCAGAGGCCCCCATTGCGGCCCGAGCAGAGAGGCAGGTGGAGAGTGGAGGAGAGTAGGGTAAGAATGTAGAAACGGGTTCTCAGTGTAATGGAAGCTAGTAGAAAGTTTTAAACAAGGGCGTGACATGATTCAATTTAATGGACTCTGCGGGCATAGGAGCAGACACTTGAAGGCCAGCCAGGAGGCTCTGGTAATAATACCAGCAACGGTGATGGTGGTTTGGAGCAGGGGGGTGGTGGTGGAGGGGTGAGAAGTGGTGATGCAGGGGTGGACCCTCAGTCAGCATGCATGCTCAGAGTCACAGAGCGGCTCCAGGAGCACTCACGTGTGCACACAAGCCCACACGTACACACGGAGAGGCACATGCTCCCAACACCCTTTGCAGCATGTAGACACTAGGTGCACTCAGGCAGACCCACCTGTCCACACCCTCTGAGTCATTCCAGGACTAGGAGGAAGATGTGTGATCTGGGGACCTGAACAAAGCATGACTCCCCACCACAAAGCTCCGGCATCCCGGAGTGCTGGTGTGTCTGGGGCTCCCTCAGGTTCTGGCACAGGGAAGGAGGGTGTCCCTAGATTTTTCCTGGATCTGGTGTCCCCAGGAACCAGACCATTACCCTCTCCATGTGCCTCCCCCCGCAACCTGAACTGGTCTCCCAACTTCACCACCCACTGCCTGTGGGACCTTGGGGAGATTATTTCCCCTCTCCAAGCCCCAGTTTCCTATCTGGGGTTCATCACCCCAACTTCACAGGGTGATAGCGAGGCATCAACGAGGTAAGTTTTGAGAAGCTGGTCTGGGGCAAGCATCCAGCAGAGAAATGGAGAGCAGGCGGTGGACAGCCCAGCCTTGAATTCAATTCTAGTTTTAATTTTTTTTTTTTTGCGGTACACGGGCCTCTTACTGTTGTGGCCTCTCCTGTTGCGGAGCACAGGCTCCGGACGCGCAGGCTCAGCGGCCATGGCTCACAGGCCCAGCCGCTCTGCAGCATGTGGGATCTTCCCGGACCGGGGCACGAACCCGTGTCCCCTGCATCGGCAGGTGGACTCTCAACCACTGTGCCGCCAGGGAAGCCCCAATTCTAGTTTTAAATGAGTGACTTGACCGCTCTAGATTTGACAATGGATAGCCAGCATTTATTGAGCACTTACTGTGTACTGAGTCTTTGCAATCCTTTTCTCATTTGATTATCAGTTTCTTCATATGTCAATGAGAAGCATAATAGTGTCTACCTCCCAAGGTCCTTACAAGGATTAAATGAGATCCAGCACATAAAGTATTTAGCTCCTTGCCTGGCTCGTTGTAAATGCTCAATGAATAATAACTGTTATTATCAGCAAATGCCCATTCCCTTCCTTCCGGCATATAGCTCTGTGACTTTGGGCAGGTTACTTAGCCTCTCTGTGCCCGTTTCCTCTCTGTAGCTTAGGAAGAATAACAGTCCTGATCTCATAGGGTCGTTGGGATGATCAAACGAATCCATCCACATAGAGAACTCAGAACAGCGCCTGGCACACAGTAAATGCTCTATAAATGTCATCTACTCATTCTCAGACCGGTTTTCCCATCCTGTCAGGCGGGCACGGCCCACAGCGCCCCCACCAGCCACCATGGACTGGAAGACGCTCCAGGCCCTCCTGAGCGGGGTGAACAAGTACTCCACAGCCTTCGGACGCATCTGGCTGTCGGTGGTGTTCGTCTTCCGCGTGCTGGTGTACGTGGTGGCCGCGGAGCGCGTGTGGGGGGACGAGCAGAAGGACTTTGACTGCAACACTAAGCAGCCAGGCTGCACCAACGTCTGCTACGACGAGTTCTTCCCCATCTCCAACATCCGCCTCTGGGCCCTGCAGCTCATCTTCGTCACGTGCCCGTCACTGCTGGTCATCCTGCACGTGGCCTACCGCGAGGAGCGGGAGCGGCGGCACCGCCAGAAACACGGCGACCAGTGCGCCAAGCTGTACGACAACGCGGGCAAGAAGCACGGTGGCCTCTGGTGGACCTACCTGTTCAGCCTCATCTTCAAGCTCCTCATCGAATTCCTCTTCCTCTACTTGCTGCACACTCTCTGGTACGGCTTCAGCATGCCCCGCCTGGTCCAGTGCGCCAACGTGGCCCCCTGCCCCAACATCGTGGACTGCTACATCGCCCGGCCCACCGAGAAGAAGCTCTTCACCTACTTCATGGTGGGCGCCTCCGCCGTCTGCATCGTGCTCACCTTCTGCGAGATCTGCTACCTCATCTTCCACAGGGTTGTGCGAAGCCTTCCCAGAAAGAGCGGCCTCCGGGGCCGCGGCCCCCCGTCCTCCGCCAGCCAGGCCTCCACCTGCCGCTGCCACCACAAGCTGGTGGAGGCCGGGGAGTTGGGCCCGGATTCCAGCGACGACAAGCTATGTGCTTCGGCACCCAACATGACCCCCATCTGACCACGGGCTGGGGAGCGATCCTGGGCTGCCCGTGGGGAGAGGCAGGGAGGTATTGTGCCGGTGGAGGGGTCCTCCCGGGGCTGGGGGGCCCCACTCTGAATTCACTACACTATTCAATTTCACCTTTAGTAGATTGTTTTGAGCGCTGGGCACTGTGCTGTCTGTCTGGTATAGGTCTCACCACAGGCCCACTGGCAGGCCTCCTGGGAGAAAGACAAGCAAATTAACTACTGCCTGCAAGGGGCCACTTAGAGGACTCCGCTGGGCTTCACCGAAGCCAGGAGGGGATGATGGGGAGAGGCTTCCCTGAAGGAGGAATGCTTAAGAGAGGCGAGAAGTGCTTCCTAGCAGACAAAAGCAGGTGCAGAGGCCTGGAGGCCGCAAAAGGAAAGATGCTTGCCCTGGGTCTGGTGAGATGTACCAGACCAAAGGGAATCTTCATTCCTTCGGGAGAAGCACCCAGATTCCTGGGATGGAAAGGAAGTATCCTCCCAGCAGTGGAGGTCTGGAGGCTGAGAGTAAGCCTGGGAAGAGGAGGGGTAAGCTCTGGTGACACCAACCCCGGCTTGAGACACCCAGAGATCCTCTGGGTCACCACTGCCCTTTGGGAACCCGCCCCCCATCTTATTCCTCCACCCTCAGGCAGCTTTGCTCCCATCTTCCTCCCACAAATGTACTCAGTCTGTTGCCAGCCTTTCAGACCCTACTCTCAGGGACTTGAGGTGGATGTGCTGATAGGAACATCCCCGAGGCAATTTCTTTGAAATCAATAAAGGCTGTCTTTTATACAGGTTGACTCTCTTCTTTTCTCCCACACTCACACCCACAAGACCCTGAGGGCAGAGAAGGTAGCCCCTCAGAAGGGGAGAGAGCTCCGTGGCTCGAGCTGAATTTAGGCTGGGGCTGGGGTTGACCCAGGAGGGATCTGGGGCGGAACCTACAGATATACATGCTGTGATTGTAGATGTGGTCACAAGAGGGCGCTGTGCTCCCTCTACAACAGCAGCGCTGGCCCTTCATAGTGAGGCCCTGCCCTGAGCGCACACAGTCACAGCCCTTTGGTTGCAGACAAACCACACTCCTTCCTCCTTTGTAACCCAGTCACTGCCATCCACAACGTGCATCCCCACCCTGTGTACACAAAATCCCTGTTATTCATACTCCCACTCCTGTATGCTCACAACAGGCTCCTCTAAAGGCATGAAGCCCCAGCCTCACCCAAGCACTATCCAGCTCCTTCCATTTTCCCTGAGCATTTTCTCCACCCCAGGCCCCTGGCAGACATGAGGACTGCACAGGGGAATAGGACCTGAGCCCAAGGAGCTCAGAGCCTGGGGGAGACAGAGACACACTCATCTCCTGCACTAACCAACCCCAGGTGGATCCCAGCCCCACTCCCAGCACTGTGTGATGACCTGAAATTTCAGGAACACCAACATCCAAGCCAGGACAGGATGGAAAGCAAAAGGGGGTGCAAGACTATACTCACGCAGAGGAACATTTAGTAACTATCAAAGCCAAGGCCGGGAGCCAGAAATCCAGGAGGCAGTGAGCCAAGAGCCAGTGCAGGCAGGGAAAGGACGGGTCATTGTGTCAACAGGACAGGCTGGGGTTCACCTTTGCTCTCACGTGTGGTCGTTACTGTGGTGGATAAGCCAGCCAAGTTTAAAGGGCCCGGGCCGGGCTGACACTCACCTCCCAGGCTAAATCATAGCTTAACCACTTCATGACCACAGCTTCACCATGCTGCACCTTGGACAGGCTTTCAGAACCTCAGTCTTGTCATCAATACAATGGGAATTTTATCAGTCAGGGTCTCAACAGGAAACAGATGGCACATTCAAACCATGGAACTTCAAAGAGTTTCCTTGAGGGACCGTTTTTGAAGGTACAGGCATGCTGAAGGAAACCCAAAAAAGGTGCCCTGGGGCTAGTACCAGGGTAGCAATGGACGGGTTGCCACACAAAGGCTGCAAGGATGCATCCAACCGCAGCAATCAAATAAATACCATGACTTCACTCTACCACCTCCTACTCACCTGCCAGTGGCTCCCACTGACCCAACACAACCAGAAACCAGAGGGCACAGAAGCCTATTGAGACGGTCAGTACGGGTCAGCCTCCCAGGGCACAGAGCAGATCTGAGGGGCAAAAGGAACACATTCAGCCCAGGACTCAGGACAGTATCCACTCCTAGGATTGTTGCAGAGATAAAAGGAGACAGTGTCATAACATGTTAATTCAGCGCTAACATATCCAGTAAATATCCATGCACAACCATGCTTAGGAAAGTCTCTGCCTGCTGCCCAGGCCATCTGGTGTGTCAGTCCCAGCTTGGAGTGGATGGTTGCCAAGGTCCCAGGGAGGGCTGATCTCTACCTATTTGCTGTCTTGCATTCCAGCATCTTCCAGGACGGTTCCCACTGCCTGGATAAGGATGGCTTTGAGGTCAGAGCAACCAGAGAACAACATCAGCTATCCCAGCAGGGACTGAGCCTCCAGTCCTGGTCCCGCTTCTCCAAGCTGCGGGCCAGGACCACAGATGAGGGAATATTCCAGCCCTAAGCATCCCACATTTGGCCTGAGAGCTGTCCCCAGCAGTGCCGCTCACGCTTTCCATCCAGCACGTATTGAGCTACCGTTCACCATGCAGAGTCCCCAGCACACATCTCACGTCCCCTGGTCTTCTCTTAAGAGGGTACACACCTCTACCTCCTCTTCCCCCAACCACGTGAGGAGTCACTGCAAGCTTCCTTCGATAGTGCTTGATTTAGATTTCATATACACACTTTCGAGTCCACATCTACTTCATGATGTGACAGCCACCCTGCAGCCCAAGGCAAATAGATTATTTTGTATTCATCACCCTGATCCAAGCCCCTTGGTAGGGACTAAATGTTTGTGTCTCCCCCAAAATTCATATGTTGAAACGCTAACTTCCAGTGTGATGTTATTAAGAGGTGGGGCCTTTGGGAAGTGGGCTCATGAGGATGGATTTGTGCTCTTATGAGAAGAGACACGAGGGGGATGGTCTTTCTCTCTCTGCCATGTGAAAACATACTCAGAAGACAGCCCGATATAAACCAGGAAAAGGGCCTTCACCAAGAACGCAACCAGGCTGGCACCCTGATCTTGGACTTCCAGCCTCCAGGACTATGAGAAATAAAGTTCTGTTGTTTAAGCCACCCAGTCTGTAGTATTTTTACAGCAGTCTGAGCTGAGACGCCTGCATCGTCTATCACCTGGCTCACTGCAATAATCTCCCTGCTTCCTGCTCCAACTCTGGGAAGCAGATGCTGCAAAAGAGAGGGGTGCAAAGGGCATGCTGGGGAGGAACACCTGCGAAAGGAAAGGGGAGGAAGCTGGACCGAGCGACAAGACCCGTTCGTGGGAGCTCTGTGTCCGTTAGACAAAGATGGTCACATTGGATGGAAATGGCTGGGCCCTTGACCACGCTTGGCTCAGCCATTGCCTGGGGCCACCCCAAGCAGAGCCTGGCCACCTGCATAGCTGAAGCAGACCCGGAGGCTGTCAGCTGGCCACACTCCGCACAGCTGGGCAGCGAGTCCTCCGTTGAAGGGGGAGATCTGCATCCACCACCCACTCCCACAGTCTATTCCCAGCACAGCAGCCAGGGTGATGCCATAAAACCTAAATCAGGCCATGTCATTCCTCTGCCCCAAACCTCCAAAGGCATCTCACACTGGCCTTTAGGGGCCTCCAAGACCTGCCCCACCTGTTCCCTTTCTGAACCCTCATCTCTTCTCCTTGCTGACCTCACTCAGTCACGCTGACCTCCTTGCTCTCCCTCAGGCAGGAAACACCAGGCGTATTTCTGCCTCAGGGCCTTTGCACTCTCTTTCCCTCTGCCTGGAATGTGCTTTCCTCCTGAGAGCCACAGGGGTCCCTCCCTTCCTCCAGGGCCTGCATCAAAGGTCAGCTGCTTCATGAGAATTTCTCCCTTCTTCTGTTCAAAAATGAAACCACCACCTCCTGCGCCCTCATCCTCCTTTCCTGCTTTACTCTCCACCTAACAGGTATCACCAGCTAACACATTCTATATTTTGTCTGTCTCCCTCTGGCTAGAATGTAAAGCCCACAAGACAGGGAGTTTCGTTATCGCTGGTTCCTGGTTGATCTCCAGTGTCTAGGACAGCAGCACCAGGCAGTGCTCAGCGCTCAGTAAATAATTTGTTGAATTCATAAATTCGTATATGAGCCTGGGGCCCTGCTAGGTGCTGGGCATGTAAACAGGACTCAGCTGCCTGCCCTCAAGGGGCTCACAGACTAATAGGGGAGGGGGTAAAGACAAAGACAAGTAAACAATGCACCCTGGATGGGGAGAAGGGAAATGGGGATGGTTTCATGTGTATAGAGTTTCAGTTTTGCAAGATGAAAATGCTCTGGAGATCTGTCGCACAGCAATGTGAATGTATGTAACACGACTAAACAGCGCACCCGGGGCAGTAGGTAAGCCGCTGAGAACGTAAAGGCTCATCTAATCCAGAGGAGGCCAGCAAGGGGACTTCTGGGGGAAGGGACGTGGAGCAAAGTCCTGAACGACTGTAGGGCTGAGCATGTGAGGGTGCCCCAGCCAGAGGGGACAGCACGGACAAAGGCCAGAATCAAGTATGGCTGGATCACTGAGTGAAAGGGGAAGAGGGAGGAGGCTGGAGAGGTGCTTGAGGCCAGGAGGCAAAGGAGAGCCACAGAAGGGTTCTAAGCAGGGCAGCGTGTGGTCTGATTTCTGGGGAAGGGTGGGGCTGGGCTGGAAGCCAGGAGACCAGTTGGGAGGCCACTGAGATGGTGGCCTAAACTGGGTCAGGGCAGTGGGAACAGAGGGAGGTGTGGGGGTCTAAGGATGTTTCCCGGGTGGAATGGCCAGGCTGTGGGATTGTCTTGGCCGACCCTGGCTCATCCTTTCCAGGAAGGGGAGGGATCATTCAAACTCTAACCTCCAGAGCCCCTAAGGAAGGGGTGAGGGTGAGGGCAGCTCCTCCCTCCTTCCCAGTAGCTGGGATCACAAAGGCTTTGGGAGGGCCTGGGCCCAGCCACAGGAGAGGAACTCTGGGAGCAGAGGCTGTAGTGGGGGCGTGGTGAGAGCCCGCCTCCAGGGACCTCGGTTCTCATGCCCTCAGGGGTCAGAATTTCGTGGGCTCCTCGTCAGCTTTGGAAATCCAGGAGGCTCAGCTCATCATGGCCCTGAGGGACAGTCCTGGAAGGGGAAGCTAGCTCAGCCTCCTGAAGTTGAGGTCTGGGCTGAGCCCACCACACTTGCTGCCCCAGAGGTCCTCCTGCGAGGGCTGAAGGCAGGAGCCTGGGGCACCCACCTGGGGCACCAGGAATCCAAAGATTGAATCCTGTTGTGGAGGAACACAGGACCTTTCTGACACCGGCCCCAAGCCTTGGACCCCACCTGCCACATTCCCTTTCCTTAGCTGCCCTATCCTTCACCAACATTCTGACCCCAGCTCCTCCCTTTCAGCCCTTTCTGCTCCCACCAAGACCAACCCACTGACCCTTTTTGTCACAAAAATGTTTTGTTACGTTTTTAGCCACCATCCATTGGAAAACTTCCTGGGTACTAATATTATGCTATGTGCTTTGATTGGATCTCCCATCAGCCCGATACCGTAGGAACTATTACCTCCCCAATCTACAGAGGAAAACACCGAGGCACAGGGGTTTAAGCAACGTGCCTAAGGGCACAGAGATAAACAGAAAAGTCTCAACTTCTACGCCCTACTGCCTCTCCCACCAAGGCCGGTGAAGCCTCGGGACGTCGCGGCCCCCAGTCCTTGGGCCTTTGCTCACGCTGTTCTTCTGCCTAGAATGCTCTCCCCCCAGCCCCCATCTGGCTGACGAAAGCAAGTTTCACATATTGCAGTATGGGAAAGTCATTCTGGCTTGTACATGAGTTAATTCGAATTTTATGCTAACTAAAACAGCCTGTTTGTGACCTATCAAACCTACGTTGTTCACTGCTTTAATTATTAAAGAAAAGGGTGCATTGACCAGCAGTAAAGAACGTTCATGTTAAAAATAAAGATCACAACATGCCTCCCTTCCTGGGACGCCCGTGCCGCTACTCCTCCGACGACGACTCCCTTCCCAGGTGCCAAGGCCGTACTGACTCGCTGTGTGCTGCTGAGCTGTGCTTTTTGGGGGTTTGGGGTTTTCTGGGTTTTGTTTTTCTTGAAACCTTGAAGGAATGTATCTCTGACTTGTTTGATGTTCTTTGTTCTGACAAGATATAAACTGTGCTGAAAACCATGCTTCTCCAGAGCAGTTCCTCAGAGTTATCTGAGAGGCTATCTCCTGGACAAGAATCCTCAGTTTGGCTCAAATAGAACTCTTTTCTATTCCTACTATAGATTGTTGATTGTGTCCATCGACGTGGCTAGCGCAGTCTCCTCCAGGAAACGCTCCTAACCAAGTCCCTCTGAGTCTGGTAGTTCTCAGGAGAACTTTGTGCATCTACTCTAACCCAAGGGCTGATATGCTCAGTTCCTGCCTTCTGCTCCAGCCAGTGGGAGCCCCAGGCCAGAGACCACATCTGGCTGGTTTGTGGTGAAGTCCCCAGCTCCACATACAGTGCCTGCAGCACACGGGTGTTCACACACAGGATGATGCCTGAATGAGCAATGGCAGGCTCCGCCCACCCCTAGTTCCTTGGGATGTCTCCCCCCACCCCATATTTAGAGGCATGAGAATGGGATCCAAGCTAAAGGTCGGGAGAGTCCCCCCCAGCCATCCCCTCCCCAGTCTCACGTGGTCCACGGGCACTTCTTAGTGCCCTCTGATTGTGTAGCCTGCCCAGGAGTGGGGATGTTTGAGAATTCTGCAAGAACAGGGGCTGGGTAGAGACCCCAGCTCCACCACAGACGCCAGGGAGGGCAGATTATAACCCCTCTCTCCCAGTGTGGTTCCCCATGCCCTAACGAGTCTTGATTACCCAGTGTGGCTTTTCTGGTGACCGCAGGGCACCATAGTTTCCCCTCCAGAATGTGGCTTTGTCCCGGGGGGGGCATTGCGGGGGGCACCCCGTGGCCACCCCACAAATGAGGGGTCTTCTCCCTTCTCACCAAGGGGTCAAGGAGATGTCCTTCCCTAGAGGCCCCCTCACCCTCATCCCCACCCGCCTATCTCTCACAGCCTCTCAGGCCAGTTGCCTGAGATCAGAAAGTTCTGGCTGCAATCCTTTCAAATGTAGCCACCCTGGGAAACTCACAACCCCGAAACCCCCTCCGCGAGAACCTGTTCCACAGCCAAGGAAGCTGAGGCTGGGAGAGTCTGTCGGCCTGAAGACCTCGGAGGGCAGACATGGAAAGCAGCGGTTTCTCATTCTCTTCCCTTTCGACCCCCCAGCGCCACCTCCCGGGCCCCTTCCTTGAGTGTGGTTTCAGGGAGCCTGCACCTCCCGTCCCGCCCCCGCTCGGCTCGGAACAGCGCCCGCCGCCCTCCCGCCGCTTCCTGACCCCACCCCGCCCCGCGTGCTATTTAAGGCGCCCCCGCCGCCAGGCGCCGTCCAGCAGGCAGGGCTCCCACGGGCGCCGCTCCGGCCGACGCGCGTCCCCACTGCCACCTGGGCCGCCGGCAGGCAGGCGGTGAGTCGGGCTGGGGCGCCACCTGCCAGCTGACGAGCGGGCAGGGACAGGTTGCCACGTGCCAGGGGCTGAGGGTGGCTGCTGGGGGACCCGCCGCGGCCGCGCTCACCCAGCCTGCTGGGCCAGCCTCTGCGCTAAGCCAGGCTCCTGCCTCCTTCGGTCGCATCCTTAGAACCCTTGTTAGGAATAGTATCATTTCCATTTTACAGGAGAGGAGTGCTCAGAGGTCGTCACTTATCCAAGGTCCCAGTTTGTAGAAGAGTCAGGATTTGAACCCAGGCCTGGTTCCAGAGCCTGGCTCTAAACAGCTTTGCTGCTGGGGAGAAGCACCACCCCTGCCCCTTTCCCCTACCTTCCTCCCCCCACTCTCCCCGTGATGTTCTGGGAACTTTGTGGCCTGTGCCTCCACCCTGCCATGACAGTTCCTTTCAAGAGTCTAGAATTTGGCAGCAACAGCTTTGGCAGGGGGAGGGGATGGAGAAAGGGGACAGGAGCAAGTGTCTGTACTTGAGCGGCAGGTGGTCAGTATCGCTGACAGGTGGAGCTAATGCAGGATGCTGCCTTGAGTGTCTAGCATGCCTTCACCCACCCCACCATAAACGCAGAGGTTAGAGTGAGGCCAGATGGGTGAGAGCTGGTGGGGTGGGGAGTGGGGGCCTGAGGCTTTCGGGCCCCTGAGAAGCTGAAGATATCACCACCACCACCCACTCCCCCACTGGCGGCGGCGGGGAGGGGGGCGGCAGCCTGTCCTGGGCAAAAGGGAGGAGGGGCACGGTACAGCTTTGTGACCTTGGATAAGTTCCTCAAATTCTCTATTCCCTTAGGCTCAGGAGCCTCACCTTGATCCAGACCTCCTTCGGCTGTGGTCACCCTGGGACTGCAGCTGGGAACAAGAGGGACACAGATGTGACTAGACAGGGACCCTAGCTGTACCCTTGCCAGAGCTTAGCAGTCATCATCCAAAGATCTGGGTGTGAGTCCCCAGGCCAGTCCCTTCCCCTCCTGGAGCTCAGTTTCCCTGTAGGTAAAATGGGTGTGGCCGGCCTCCCTGCAGGCTTGTTGCTAGGACAGCTGAGAAGGATGCTGACAGTGTCCTCTGTCTCCCTGCAGACGGAGGCCCAGGAGCCATGGGCGACTGGGGCTTCCTTGAGAAGCTGCTGGACCAGGTCCAGGAGCACTCGACCGTGGTGGGCAAGATCTGGCTGACGGTCCTTTTCATCTTCCGCATCCTCATCCTGGGCCTGGCTGGCGAGTCAGTGTGGGGCGACGAGCAGTCGGATTTCGAGTGTAACACGGCCCAGCCAGGCTGCACCAACGTCTGCTATGACCAGGCCTTCCCCATCTCCCACATCCGCTACTGGGTGCTGCAGTTCCTCTTCGTCAGCACGCCCACCCTGGTCTACCTGGGCCATGTCATTTACCTGTCTCGGCGCGAGGAGCGGCTGCGGCAGAAAGAGGGGGAGCTGCGGGCACTGCCGGCCAAGGACCCACGCGTGGAGCGGGCACTGGCAGCCATAGAGCGACAGATGGCCAAGATCTCGGTGGCGGAGGACGGTCACCTCCGGATCCGTGGGGCGCTGATGGGCACCTATGTGGCCAGCGTGCTCTGCAAGAGTGTGCTAGAAGCAGGCTTCCTGTACGGCCAGTGGCGTCTCTATGGCTGGACCATGGAGCCTGTGTTCGTGTGCCAGCGCTCACCCTGCCCCTACCTCGTGGACTGCTTTGTCTCACGCCCCACGGAGAAGACTATCTTCATCATCTTCATGCTGGTGGTTGGACTCATCTCCCTGGTGCTCAACCTGCTGGAGCTGGCGTACCTGCTGTGCCGCTGCCTCAACCGGGGGATGAGGGCCCGGCAGAGCCAGGACACGCCCCCAGCCCAGGGCACCTCCTCGGAGCCTTATGCTGACCAGGTCTTCTTCTACCTCCCCATGGGTGAGGGGCCCTCATCCCCGCCCTGCCCCACCTACAATGGGCTCTCGTCCAGTGAGCAGAACTGGGCCAACCTGACTACGGAGGAGAGGCTGGCTTCTTCCAGACCCCCCCTCTTCCTGGACCCGACCCCCCAGAGTGGCCGGAAATCCCCCAGTCGCCCCAGCAGCTCTGCTTCCAAGAAACAGTATGTATAAGAGCCCGGGAAGTCTTGCTGCCTTTAGTGCAAGACTGCAGAGATGACTGGGGCTGGGGAAGCAGGTGCTTGCTGGCCAGAAAGCCTCACTGCGTGTTGTTCTTGAACACCTGGGGCCTTCCTGGTGACCGGAGGGCACCATAGTTTCCCCTCCAGAATGTGGCTTTGTCCCAGGCACAGACAGAGGCAGCTTGGGGTGCTCTTGGCCAAATGTGTTTGGGCCCTGTGGTCTTTTTCACCGTGTTCAAAGGGACTCGGAGACAACTTCCTCCACCCCCACCCCCACCCCCTGGAAGATTCACCTCTGCCCAGGTTGTCCACACACCCTGTCCTCACAGAAAAAGGCTGGTCGAGGCTGCTGGGTCAGCCTTGATCCCACACACAGACGGGGCCTGTGCTGGGTCTGGCCCTGTCAAGGGGACTGGGGTCTTGTTCTCATCACTCCTTCCTAGTTCTGCTGTTTGTCCTTCTGAAATAAACAGGACTTGACCACAAGCGAGGTGTGTATTGATACTGTCATGATGTGCCTGAGGTGGGGGGACAGCTGCTTTACCCAGGCTTCCTTTTTGGTCCTGCATAATCTGTCTTTGGCCTTAGCGATCCCAACACCAGGCAGCACCTTCAACCCTCAAACCCCTACATACTGCCTCTCAGCAGCGCTGAGTCCTAAACACTGCCTTGTGAAATGCCCCAGCACCAGCCCCCTCAACCTGCCCCTTAATCAGTGGCCAAAGCAGAGACTGTCCCCATCCTGCCCCATGGCCATCCAGTGCCCCGGCCACGCTCCCAACTGCAGTGTGCTTCCTTACTGGACACTGCTCCCCACCCTGCCTGCATGCCAGCCAAGCCCTTCAGAGTCCAGCTCAAATGGGCCTGCACCCCTCGGTATTTGGGGAGGCAGGTTTAGATCACTTGCCCCCTCCTACCTTGGCCCTGTCTAGTCTGCCCACCAGAAGGAGCAACTCAAGGACCTGCATCGTAAATCCTCCCCATGCACCTAAAACTCACACAGTGAGAACAGACAATGGCAGTGTAGAGAGGTGGAAGGGACGGCCAGGGTCCAGTGGAGGAATCGAATCTTGCCTCTGAGTCACAAAGGTGGCAGGAAAAAAAAAAAAAGCAATTGAACTAGATCTTGACAGATAAATAGGAGTCTGCTGGGGAGGGAAGAGGACACCTTATTTGGACAGAAAACTGTGCAAAGGCATGGAGACGGGGAACCGTTGGGGACTGAGGGGGTGCTTAGGGCCTGATGAGCCATCTAGGATGTGGGAAGTACAGCTGAGGGTAAGCCCAGTGTTGGCAGAGTTGATGTGGAAGGTGACCCGGATGGAGGCAACACTCAGTGGCCCTCGGAGGCAAGCTGTTGCCTGCTGGTTGTCCTCCCCTACCCAGGGAGATCTGGGGCTGGAGGAGGGGATGGGGTCCATCTCACGTGGCCACATGCTTCTCCTTGAGAACCATTATAGCGGGTGAACAACCTTCCCCTGTCCCATCAAGATAGGTCTTCAAGACACCAGCTCTGTATCCTTCACCCCAGAATTCACTCACTCACTGTTTACCCATCAAGTCTGAATGCTCGGCCTGATAAGTTACAGCCCTCACTCTTCCAGCTTTGGTTCCCATTGTTCCCTCTGAATCCCTGAGATCCAACCAGACCAGCCTCCTCACAGCTCCCCAGACTCACTGGGTATGTTCTCACCCTGCTCCTTTTGCCAGCCTGGAGTGCCTCTTCCCCACACTTCCAAACCCCACCAGTCCTTTATACACTTCCGTACCCTGGAAAAGGCAGAGCCTGAAGCAGAAGAAAGGGTAAGATGAGTTTTGATGTTAGAGGGTCCTCAAATTAAATGCTGCCTGTAATACGTATAAAGCCATGTGGTCTTAAGGCAATCATTTCACTTCTCCAAGTCGGAGTTTTCTCAGCTATAAAATGCAGATAATATTGCCTGCCTCACAGGTGCAAGAAATAAAAACAAGAGAAAGTATATGAGTGCACCTGGCTCCTAATGCCATGCAACAAAATTCAGCTCACCCTCTCCAGCAAGGCTATCATAGGTTCTTCCTCCTCTAGGAAGCCCTCCCCCACTTCTCCAGCCAGTCTCCAGTGATGATCTCTACCTTTCGGCAACCTGGATCACTGCTTGGTACGAGCCTATTTCATCTCCCCAGTGAGTCTCTAAGGACCGCCGGGGAGACGTTCTTCATTTACCATGGGCCTAGCCCTGCATTCAGTTGTTGTTGTTTTTTGCGGTACGCAGGCCTCTCACCGTTGTGGCCTCTCCCGTTGTGGAGCACAGGCTCCGGACACGCAGGCTCAGCGGCCATGGCTCACGGGCCCAGCCGCTCCGCAGCATGTGGGATCCTCCTGGACCGGGGCACAAACCTGTGTCCCCTGCATCGGCAGGCGGACTCTCAACCCACTGCACCACCAGGGAAGCCCCCTGCATTCACTTTGACTATAAAGTGAGGGATTAAGTTAGACTGGGCAGAAAGTAGACTGTTCATACGTTGGAAGGGCATAACTCCAGGAGGCTGAGGTCCCCTTCCAAGGGATTCTCCCCAAGCCAGGCTGAGAGGCCAGATCTGTGGGGTCAGAGGTTGGTCTCTTAGAGCCAACCCAACCTGGGGGCCCTGGGAGCCTGTGTTTCTGGTATCCCCTACCTGTCCTCGCTTGGAAAGGTGGGAGAAGGCAGGTTTAGGTGAGTGAGGAGGGCATCCATCCCCTCCCTCAAAGCTTACCCACTCTGAGCTTGGTGCTGGGACTTGGGCCTTTGGTAAGGCTGGGTTTGGGTCCTAGCTGGTGGCCACTCAAACACAAGGGCAAATGGGCTGGGGGTTTAAGGATGAGGATAGTGTAGTGGGGACGGGACCACACAGATTAGGGCAGGGGCAGTGCGGTGAAGACTTACGAAATGAAGAGTGGCTCTAAGCCCCAGCCCACCCCTATTCACTTCCTAAAGCTGTCATAACAAAGTACCACAGACTGGCTCCAATGACAGAAATGTATTGTCTCACAGTTCTGGAGGCCAGAAGTCCAAGATCAAGGTGTCCACAGGGTTATTTCCTTCTGAGGGCTGTGAGGGAGAATCTGTTACATGCCTCTCTCCTGATTTACGATGGGTTGCTGGCAATACCTGGCATTCCTCAGCTTACAGAAGCATCACCCCCATCTCTGCCTTTATCTTCATATAGCATTCTCCCTGTGTGCCTGTCTGTCTCTAGGTCCAAATTTCTTCTTTTTATAAAGATACCATTCCTATTGGATTAGTGTCACCCTAATGGCTTCGTTTTAACTTGCTCACCTCTGTAAAGATCCTGTTTCCATATGAGGTCACATTCTGAGTGGCTGGGGGTTAGCAATACCTTTTGGGGGCACACAATTCAACCCATACCACCACCCCATGGGCCCCACTTCACCTCCAAGCACTGGTGGAGGGAGGTCAAGGAGAAGGCTAATATATATTGTACTCAGGCATCTCCTTTCTGATGTGGCCTGGATGGAACACAGCAGATTCACATCTCACGTCTTCCATCGCATTCTTCTTCCTCCCACCAGCCTATCCCTCGTCACCACCAAAATTCAAGTTGGTAACAGGCAACTCTTGGTCACAGAAAAAGCCGTAGGAGGCTTGACTCCTGCCTCCCCGCCCCCACCCCCTCACTTGACTGTGGTCCTTTCCCCTCTATGGGCCTCACTGTCACCATTGTGAAATGAAAGGATTAGATGAGAAACAGGCATGTGGCAACTAGGCATGAGGAGCATCGCAAGGAATAACTTGCCACTGATCATTGATCTGCAGCTCACAAGCAATGTGCTATTTTTCAGGCATCAGAACAGATTCAAGGTTATTTCTATAAGGTCAATTCCAGTCACTTGAATCCACATTGCCTTACTGAGTAGAAAAGAAAGGGATGGGGTTATGTGGAGGGCACTGGGAATTTTTCATAACCCAAGGTCATCTTATCTGCAGCCCATGGGAGCAGTGAACGTCATGGGCCACACATAAACAAGACAGAGAGCTCGTGGGCTGGGTGATGTCAAAACTTCTTCCCCATCTAACATGCTGGCTCACTGACCACTGGGTTGCTGACCTCATGAATTTACCACTGACCTCCAGTGCCTTGACTGGAGGTCCTTCATTTCCTTTTCACACTAACGTCGGCATGACTACTGATGTTTGCAGGAAGAGGAATTCATCTCAGGATTGTTGGAACTTCTTTTTCTACCTTACAGCTTCTCCCACCAGTCCTGGCTCAGACTTCAAGGGTCACATGAGGCTCAACAGTTCTGCCCTTCCCATCCAAGCCACATACAGATATAGCCACCAGGCTGGTCCTGAGCCTGCTTTTCTCCTATTCCTCCAGCTGACTCTGATTCCAGAAGTCTCTGGCCAACCTGCAGTTTGTCTACTTTCCTCTTAACATGTGCCACACTCCCCTGGGTGCTAGACATGATACTCCACGTGGTCAGAATCCAGATTATCACGTCTCGTCTCAAAACTTCTACCTCTATTAATGCAACCTAGGGTTACATTAGCTTTTCTCTTTTCTTCTCTTTTTCATATATAGAATTTGGGGGGGGATAACAAAGGTAAGGCATGATCATTATAGACAATGAGATCCCACCATCTTGGGGTAACAACTGTTAATATTCAGAAGTAATTCCTTCCAGACTCTTCCATGCATATATTTAAATAAAATCGGAGTAAAGGTGTACCTATAATTTTGTATTCTGCTTTTTAAATTTTACATTAAATCATAAGGCTTTTCACCATGTTATCAAGTATCCTAGGAAACACCATTTAATGGCTTTATCATATGGCTTTATCATTATCTACTTAACCATGACCCTGATATTGGATTTTTAGAGTGTTTGCAACTAATTATCCTCTATTATAAATTGTACTGTGGGGCTTCCCTGGTGGCGCAGTGGTTGAGAGTCCGCCTGCCGATGCAGGGGACACAGGTTCGTGCCCCGGTCCGGGAAGATCCCACATGCCGCAGAGCGGCTGGGCCCGTGAGCCATGGCCGCTGAGCCTGCGCGTCCAGAGCCTGTGCTCCACAACGGGAGGGGCCGCAGCAGTGAGAGGCCCGCGTACCGCAAAAAAAAAAAAAAAAATTATACTGTGATGTGAATGTACTTAAAAGTTTTCCAAATTGCCTATTTCCTTAAAAGAAAGACATTCCAAGAAGTGAACTTACTGGGTCAAAAGGTATGAAATTTAAAATTTTAAAAATTTTTAAAATTTAAAAACAAATTTTTTTTTTAAAAGAAGATGTTGGGAGTAGGAGTTTATTAATTAATTAATTTATTTTTGCTGTGTTGGGTCTTTGTTTCTGTGCGAGGGCTTTCTCTAGTTGTGGCAAGCGGGGGCCACTCTTCATCGCGGTTCGTGGGCCTCTCACTATCGCGGCCCCTCTTGTTGCGGAGCACAGGCTCCAGACGCGCAGGCTCAGTAGTTGTGGCTCATGGGCCTAGGTGCTCCGCGGCATGTGGGATCCTCCCAGAC